TATAATGATTAGTTTTTAGATCCTCATATTCTTGCAACAATTTTTCGTATTTTGATTTGATTTTAATTAAAAATTTAATTTTTTTTTTTTTTTTATTATTAAGACCACTTCTTTGACTGATTAGATTTTATTAGTTTGTTATTACAGAACTATCATATGAATAGTTTTCTAAGATTTTATAGTTATATAATGAGTGTACAACAAGCTATATATATAACTTTAATTATTATCTAATTTAAGTATCCACTATACAAATAATAGACCATCTGTTGGTTCTATACTATGCTGCTATACCTGCAACCTGCTTGTGAGTTACCTATTTAAATACTCTGATCATTAACTCTTCTCTCTATCTCAAACTAACATCACTACTATAGCTAACTGCTTAAGCTAGCTAGCTTATCTATAGATCTATTTACTACATAGTTTAGGTCTTCTCAGAATATATATTGCCTAATAGATTATGAGTATGCAGAGCTCTAGTTAATCTCAGAAGTAATTCCTACTAAAGTAGTCATATGCTTATTTTACAAATTCATCTGAATTAGACCCTTGTCAATATTCATACAAACCCAGTTCCTGCTATAACTATTCACTAGATATAGTTTTTCAAGTTCTAGCTAGATATTTTATGAAGTAGATCCTCCTAATCTAGTTAGCTACTAAGCCAAGTTAGTGTTGCTACTAATACAAGGTACCAGACTGCATTATACAGTAGACTTATATGTACCTATCGATTTCATATCCTTCATACTTAGATTTTTTATTGAATCAGATATTAACTAGCTTAACTGTTGAAATTTGTACTACTTCACTAAACTCATAATTTCTACCATGCAGGTCCTCTACCTATAGATCCTATTAAAATTTATTTATGCAATATAACTTGAACATTATGTCATACTTCTAATATTTGATTAATATTAGTACAACATAATTTACAGAGTTGTAGCCCCTAGAAATGAATAGAGTTTACTGTAAGTTGGGTACAAAAGTCTAGGTAATTATTCAAATTTATCAATAGTAGAATTTGAATCTCAGATCTCTTGCATAGCAGTCTGGCAACCTAACTACTACACTAAAATTACCAGACCTTAATTAAAAATTTAATTTTTTCTTCAGATTCTATTATATTTAATAAAAAAATATAAATATATATAGATTTAATATAAAGATATTTTTTCATAAAAATTTATCATAAATCTAAGAAGTAATTCTAATATATTTAAACACAAATATAATAAGACAAATAAAATATAGTATTAAATAATTTTTTAAAATATTATTTTTCATCTTTAACAGTATAAATTTTTTCTAACAAGATTTTTTTTTCTTGTTATATATGAATTTGATTATGAATGATATAAATTATTTAATAAAATTTGTTAAATTATATAATACAAAAAATCTATTAGTACTACTAATAAGAAAATTTGAATTAAAATTCTTTCAGAAATTCTAAAAATAATCAGATAAAAATATGTAAATCTGTATCTATATGCAAATAAATTCTATCAATCTAAAACTATAAATTTGATAATCAAACTAAACAATACCTTCTATTTTAAAATTTTCTTTTTCAAAATTCAAGAAATTTTTTAAAAAAAATTTAATGAATAATAATTATGATAAGATGTTTTACAATATCACAAAACCTGATGCACTAGAATTTTTCTATCTTTATCTGTTTAAAAAAGATTGGCATTTAGAAATAGCTGATGAATATAAAACAAACCTAACTGTTAAAAGAATAGTTAAAATTATGATACAAAATCCAAATCTCTATAAAGAGATGCTTATAGATTACAAAGTTAAAGTAACAAGATTTGATATGATATAAATATTTACTATCAAAATAAGTGAAGATTAGGAAGTGACATAAGAAGATAATTGGTTTAATATAAAAACTTTTTTGTTTTTTATTGGTCAAAATTTTAAACAATATAAATTCATATAATATGATTATATAATATATTTATTTTATTTGTATAAATATAATAAATAAATAT